CTGGGGGTTCAGTGTAGTAAAGATTCACAACACTTACTATAAACTATAACATATCATAGTAGGTGGCTCAAACTTCCTTTAAAGTACATGTGTTTAAAACAGGAAGGAAAGCACTCCTACCTAACCACACATCCCCTCTTAGGCCTTGCAAAATGGATTCAGAGGAGCTTTGCCCTGGACTTGAACTCACCCGGTCTTTATCATCTGCTACATCACAGAGAATGTCATCAAGGTCTAGTATTCCTCCATCCCCATGTTCCAATCGATGCACCTGTATCCAGTAGTTTGGATCCTGTACAAAAGAACAGAAATATTGAATAGAGCAAGTTAACATCACCAAAAGGGAATTCAATGACTTAAAAAATGTGATAACTTTCTGCTCATAAAAGGGAACTGACCACAAAAACAATACTGCAATTGCTTAAAAAATTCAAGTAGCTCCCTATCCTTGGTGTTCAGTCAATTTTCCTTTTCTTTTATGATGGAACCACTCATGCACACTCCTCCCTCTGGCTCAGATGCTGCTTACATTATGCTATTACAATAAGAACTGCAGAAACCAGCAAAACTCACTGCAAAAGAAATAATGATTTCTCTAAAGTATACTGGTTTTCCCACTGTCTAATACAAAATTCTTATTAAGCCTCTTAATGCAATCTAGAGAAATACTGTAATAAGCAAGCAGCATATATTGTATGTCTGAAAACTCATGGCATAGCCTATCTGTAAAAAGTAAGTTGCAAACCCTGGTGGCTGAAAGTGTTTTCTACAAACAAGTCTGAATATACTGACACAGAAAGATGCTGGCAGGATCATAAGAAAACAATGCAAGCTCAGAACAATGTGTGTGGTTTGGGCCTATTTTTTGTAAAGGCAAAATTACATACATGCATATATGTACACAAAAATGTCCATAACACTACACACCAAAATTTTCAGTGGTTTTCTCTGGGGAATGGGATTAGGCGAGGAAGACACAAAATATTTCACATTAAATTTTACACACCTCCATATGGGGGGTGTGTATGTGTATGTGGGGGGAGGTATTTATATGCAGTATCATAAAGCCACATCTTAAAATTATTTGAAGAAAGACAGTTGTTTGTTTTTAGAAGTCCACAATCATTCTCATTTATATACTCAAATCAAAATACACTAAATTATATGCATTGCTGCTAAGCTACTGAATTCTCCACAACACAGAACTGCTCTCAAAAAGTTCAAGTTAGCACTCCATTTTTCTAATCTAAAAGTGATGTTTGGTTCTTTTTTGAAGGAAAGGCTGGGAATGACGAGGCAAAAGATGAATGATAGTTAAAACAGAGATTACTGGGCCCACCCTAGGCCTACTAAGGCCCTGCAGGGATAGGGCCAGGGAATCCACATTCTTAAGAAGCTCTCCAAGTGAATCTCTAACGAAGCCACGCCTAACAACCACTAAAATGGAATACTTCTATAAAAAATACAAAATGACAAGTCCTTATCGCTTTTTAACCAGCACACCAAGCAGCATAGACCCTAATTTTCAAAGTTATTAGGTATTACTACACAAAGTACTATGCAAATAACCTATAGTTGCTCTACACGCTCGTCAATCCAGACTGCTTAAAAGGGAGTTTCAGTACTCAACTGTTCATCCAGAACACCAAGAGCAAGTTTAAAACACACATACACACACATCTTGGCACCCTCTTCTTCACTGGACCAATCTGACATTGCATGAATTCCCCAATTACCATTAGCATCCAGGGATGACATTAGGAAACGTACTTCTGTGAGTCCAGGAGTACTCTAGAATTTGACATTTCTAGATTTGTTGAGCCAGCAAAGAACAAAGCCCCAAAACAAACTATACTCTTAGTCTTCTTTACAAAATGATATTAACTCTCCATGGAGAATCAGAAATACTTAATATCCTGGGTGTGAATAAAGAAATGAAATTCCCTCGCCGTCATTCCCTAGTCACTCAGAACAGGTATATCCTTCCTCCCTTTCCTCCCAAGCAATCTCTAATGAGTTGCCATCAAATAGACACTGACTCATGAAGACCCCATGTGTGTCAGAGTAGAACTATGCTCCCTAGAGTTTGTATGGCTGATTTTTCAGAAGTAGATCATCAGGTCTTTTTTCTGAGGTGCCTGTAGGTGGACTCGAACCAACAACCTTTCAGTTGGCAACTAGGCATTAACCATTTGTACCACCCAGGGACTCCAAGTAAGCGCCAGGGTAACCTAATCAACTTAAATACCAACTTTCATTTCTAAAACACTTACATCACACAGACGCTGACTGATTCCAAAACATGACTTATAAAAAACTGTTCTTTAAGCTTCCTAATCCTTACTCTCTTCATGTATCATAAACTGCAGCCTTTATAAAACATCTGGAGTCACCCCCAACCCTTTTAAATAAATTCCCACCTAAAGACTTTCTCAGTCTCACAACTTCAATCATCAGAATCTGCTACCTTCCAGCCTCTCTCCGGCCACTTCCCCTCTCACAGCCTGTATCAAGCCCTGCACTGTTGCATTCACCACCGACGTGCCCAGTGAGACCATGGGCCTCAAATGCCTGGAGTCCTACGTTGTCAACCAGGCTAGCCCCTTCCCGCCCATCAAGACCTCTCAGTCATTCTCTTCTTTAAGAACCTCTCCTGACCATCATATCTTCAAGGCAAGTTTAGAAGTCTACCCTCCAGCCTCCCTCTTCATGTTCCTTAAAACCACAGCAGTATGGAAAACAGTGGTCAGGAGTCAAGTTTGACCCTTTAGAAGCCATCAATGTTTTATTTTCACACATGGTAACATTACAGTACAAAACTTTCTATTGACCCTGCGTTACCCTCCTAGTCTCTGATCTTCTTTGCAACAGTTGTTTTTTGTATTTTTAGGAATTGTCTAGACTTGTTCTCTCAGGTTCTTCTCCTCCCATTAACCCACTCCCAAATTTTTCATCAAGATCACCGACAACCTTCATGTTGCCAAATGCAATGGTCAAGTCTCACTCCTCATCTCACTTGACCTATAGGCAGAATTTGACACTAGCGATCATTCCCTCTTCCTTGAAATACTCTATAAACTTGATTTTTATTCCTGCAACTAAATGTTCAAGGCTTGTCTAATTTGGGGATTCTGAGTTTTGACGCCTCCTTCCCAGAGGGGTCCTGATTCAACAGTCAGCTATGCCAAGTAGTCATGACAACATCAGGCTAAAGCATACATCAGGCTGGCACTAATTAAATGCCACTCCATAAATATGTGCTGAACAGAAATGACTTTTAGCAAAGACGGACCCAAGAGGAAGATCATCAGTA